TATATATATATATATATATATATATATATATATATATATATATATATATATATCGACCCTTGACCCTATGTCGGCCTAGAAATATTCTCGGCCACCATAATTGCCTCCCGGATAACCGAGCGACGAGGTATAATCAATATAACTGAAAACTCGTCGCAATATCGCGACAGAATTTCGCAATATTATTATTATTTTACTACAAAACTCTAGTACAAAGGAATGCGTTACACTGAGAGAAAAAAGTAGTTGGAATAACTATATGTATCTCACTATATTTTATAGTTCATTTTGGCCTCAAACATACAATTATAGTTCATCTAAACATGAAGATATAGCAGAATGAACACAGATTTATAGTCACCATCTTATTACTCTATGTGTATAATAAAACACGATTTGGGAATATAGTTACATGTACCCATATTTTCCAAATATTCCAATTGTATTGACTATACAAAATAGTTAATTTCTCTTACCATTTAATATTTTCTACCTTACTATGTTTTTTATTTCAAATAATTATAATTCTTGGTAAAAGTTTTACATGAGTCAGTTATACTATGCTTATATTGTAAATATTACAAACATTATGGTGATATTTACTATAAAAATGATATTCCTAACTATAATCTTTTTACTATGTCATTATAGTTCCAAATATCATACATTTTCCTCTCAATGTAGGAACGCTTGTAAAGCTACATAAATCAATAATAAATAACATAAGTTATAAACGAAAGATAGTTAATTAGTAAGCAGTAAAATTTAATAGACAGTAAATAGTTTAACATATTTCTAATATTGAAATTCCGGAAGATTTTGTATTGTGCGTTACGCAGACACGAAAATGTCGGATATTGTAAAATGTATATTGATACTATTATAGGTAGTTTCGAACCAGACCCTAAGCTATCGCCAAAAGACCAAGTAATACAGGAACTGCAGGTACCCGGATAAACGGAATGACGCGTCTTGTGTTTCACCTGAAATGAAATAACTATCGTTTCGTTCACCTTCTTGTTTGTGTCACTCGTACGTGGAGATCACAGAAGTCGTAATTGTAATGCGTATACGAATTCCTGCGGCCGTATCGGAGTCTCACCTAAATGCCCATAGATTTTCTTGTCTCCTGCACTTGCGATTACTTTTTGTTCCCTTTGAATGCCAGTAAATGCAAACTTCTCCATTCCGAAATTGTGAAAAGTACCTTCTTTCAATTAATCAGGATTTCGCAATTTTTCCATTTTCCTTTAATTAATAAGGACTCTTTTGTTCATGTACGAAACCAATTCTTACACAGAATTGATAACTCTAATATCGTACAGGCTGTCTAACGTTAAACGCCTCATATTTAGTACAGTAATCGGAGGGATTGTCTGGTTTTTCTTTTTTTTTATAAGGAAGGTTTAGGAACTAATTCTTTTTTTCCAATAGAAGAATTTGTTTTCCAAAAAGGAATCTTTCTCATTGGATAAGAAAGATACCTTCCTAAATTTATCAAAAACCAGACGACCTTTCAGATCACAAGTATACATGTAGATTCGGTCAAACTGAGTAAAAAAGTCCTCTATTATCTTGCAAACAACCATGTAAATTCTTGAGTTAATTAAGGAAGATTGACGAATGATCGCCTGCGATACAGCAGATGGGTTGTAATAGCGACGCCTGCCATCGTGTGCTTGTAGATTAGATCCAACTGAAGAAAAAAGTCTTCTACTGTTTTGCAAATACACTGAGAGAAAAAAATAATTGGAATAACTATAATCTCACTATATTTTATAGTTTATTTTGGCCTCAAACATATATTTATAGTTCATCTAAACATGAAGATATAGCAGAATGAACACAGATTTATAGTCACCATTTTATTACTCTATGTGTATAGTAAAGCACACTTTGGGAATATAGTTATATGTATCTATATTTGCCAAATATTCTAATTGTATTGACTATATAAAATAGTTAATTTCTCTTACCATTCAATATTTGCTACTTTACTATAATTTTTATTTCAAATAATTATAATTCTTGGTAAAAGTTTTACATAGGTCAATTATACTATGCTTATATTGTAAATATTACAAACATTATGATGACATTTACTATAAAAATAATATTCCTAACTATAATCTTTTTACTATGCCATTATAGTTCCAAATATTATACATTTTTCTCTCAGTGTAAGCATGTAAACCGTTGATTATTAGTTGAAGAACGTTTGTGCATTATTGCGTGCGATCATCCACCGGTTTTCTTTGGTTAATAACTTAAAAACCTACGTGATTGCTTGCAGAATGGTAGAGGAGGACTTTTTTGTTTGTCTTAATCTACACGTACAAAATATGAGATACTTTGCGTAAGGCATTTTGTATATATGTACTTCTTATATACAGGATGGTGCACTTAAATCGAACATCTTGAATATTTCACTTATTTTTGATGATACAAAAAAATGTTTTAGATGAAAGTAAAAGGGTGTCGAGGGGGACATATTTTGGTCACATTACTTTTCTTCTAAGTGGAGGCGCTAAAAAGATATAAAGATCACCTTCACTTTTTTAAATGAATTATGATTTTCTTATAATTAAAGTTATTTTATACACTCTCCCTTTATTTTGATAAAAAATTTAGTCAAGAAGTTGTTCAAAATAATGTCCTCCGATTTCAATACATTTTCGGATACGATACATAAATGATATTTTTATATTTTCTATCATTTTTGAATTTATACTCGTACATGCTTCCAAAATACATTCTTTCATGTTCTTTTGTGTAGTTGGTACATCATTGAAAACAATGTTTTTAATTTTCCCCAAACAAAAAAGTCTATGAGATTTAAATATATTGAAGTCGGAGGACATAATTTTGAACATCTCCTTGACTAAATTTTTTGTCAGAATAAAGTATAAAATATTTCGTAAATTATTGATTTTTCGACAATTATACTTCTTAGTATTTTTATACATAAAATAAATAGAGGAATCATATTTATAAAAAAATCATAATTTAAAAAAGTGAAGATAATCCTCATATCCTTTTAGCGCCTCCAGTTAGAAAAAAAACAACGTGACCAAAATGTGTCCCCTTCGACGTCCTTCCACTTTCATCTAAAACATTTTTCCGTATTATCAAAAATAAGTGAAATATTCAAGGTGTTCGATTTAAATGGGCCACCCTGTATATCTAGTCGTTATTAAAATTTACCTTGTGATTTGCTCCATATCGTTCTATTGTCTTAAATCGTTACTTAGTTATGGAAAAAATTCACACCGTTTGTGAATCTGCAAATTTTCCGACAGATGCATGATCAGCGATCAGACCCAAGCAAAATTGTTAAAATCGTCGCGTTTCACATTTCAGCAAAGAGCGCACAAGAAAAGCACCCGAAAGCAGTCGCAGGAGCTTTGGCCCCAGGCTAAGCAGCTCGAACTTACGCGTGGCCGCAGATGGAGGTGCCCGAATGACTTCTTTAACGACGAAATGATCGCGGAAGTGTTATCCTCGCAGGCGGAAGTTATTCGCGGCAGAGTGTTGGGGTAAGGATGCCTTCGCGTTTCCGAACCGAAAAGATTATCGAACAGCCGGGCTGAATTGACTCTGCGCCGGCGTGTGAAAATTATAAGAAAATATATATACAGAGTGTTCCGAAACAACCCTCGAAGTTTTTGTGGAGGCGTAGTACAGATTGAGGCGAACTTAAAAGTCCTATACCGACTTGTGATATTTGCAATAATTATCGAGATATCAATTAAAGAAAATTTGTGAATTATCACGCGTGATATGGTAGATAAACTGTAGTGGCAAATTGAATAAAAATATCCTCTACCATTTTCCTAATAATTTTATAGATTTTTAATTATTAATTAAAGAAGTTTGGCGAACGGTTGCTCGCGCGCGCGATAATATATTAATGTCATCTAATTAATAACTAAAATTTTACAAAGTTATTAGGGAAAAGGTAAAGGACTTTTCAGTTCAGTTTCACGTAATTATTCACAAATCTTCTTTAATTAATATCTCGATAGTTAGGGCGAATATCGCAAAATGGATAATAAGACTTTTATGTTCACCTTAATCCACACTAAGTCTCCACGAAAATTTCAAAGATTGTTATATACATATATTTGGCTATAAAAGTCATATTATAAAAAATTTCTCCCTAACGAAGGAATCTCGCGAGTCAAATTAATCGATCGATTGCGTAGAGTGAATTTTAAAAAATATGAGAAGACGAACCTGCCCAACTTTGACCATCTGATGAACTCGAGCGTCTACAAGATGATTCATAAAATGGAACGGGAACCGAAAAAAGGTATACCTGCTAGACCTGCTAAAGTCAACGCGGCGGAGGATATAATGGAGCGAATCGTAAGTGTTTTTTTGTTATCTTACACTGCGAAAAAATACTTGAAAATTTATTTATGGGATATCATGCAATCTGATATCATATTGATTCTTATAAAATAAAATTTATTTCTGTGAATAAACTTTATATTCCATAAATAAATTTTTGAATCTTTTTTTCTCAGTCCATGCGACTGCCAAGTTCAAATTTTGAGCATTACTCTGGAATGAAGATGATTACGTTTGAAAATGAAACACATTTGAGGCACTAACTTAACGTTCAAAAAATCTTTACATTCCTCGTAAAATCATTGTTAATCAATTTTACTGATTATCATTATCTTCATATGCCTCTTGCATATTCGTTGTGTTACAATATTTGTAAATATTCATTGAGTTTATTCAGCTTTAATAGGTAGCTTAATTCGATCAAATTAATATCGTCAAGTAAAATCAGATAAACGATTCAATCGCGAGAGAAGATTTGATTTTTTTTCAGTCAACTTGTAATTAACTTTTCAACGGCATTGTTTCAGAAATCACCGGCGTTAAGCGTTGTGGATGACAGAAGCACTCGAAGTGTCAGTCACTGATGTAACCGCGATCGCGGATGATTATAATGTGTGATGCCATCGTTACACGCATAACATCTACCTGCCTGCTAAAACAATCTAGAAAAATGGCGAGCAGAATTATCTGACATACCAGTTACGTCTGAAGAATATTATTTTAATTATATTTTGAGAATACTTAACAATTTGAAATATGTGTGCGTGTATACATGTATCAAAATTCAACAAATTCTTCACGGCAGCACAATGCGCGCATCAATAAAGTACTCCTTATAATAAGAAATGAGAAATTCTTTTCTGCAGAAAATCGCGCTCAATCTATAGCGAGTATTTAGTTTATATAATATTAAATTTTCTAGAGGATGAACTTTGTTACATGCAGATTTCACAAATCAATTAAACTATTCGTGATTACATATACAGGGTGCTTAAAAAAATTATAATACTTATATTAGAGAAAAAACTATAATACTTATATTAGAGAAGAAATTAGTTCCATATAAGTGTTAACATTTTTTTAAGCATCCTGTATGATTGATCTGATTACGGATTTGCCTATTATTTTAATAAAAAAAAATTCTAATCGATTAATCTCTTCAGTAGTGACTTAAAATGACTGCGCGATTCCTCTAGAGCGGGTTTTTTGCATAAGCATGTGCAGATTTCTTTTCTCTCTGTTGCTATTTTCTTTGAAGAATTTTGAAAAATGGAATATATGTAATTTGTACTTATGAGTTACTTATGAGTTACAAAAAAGTAATATAAAGTAAATCAAAAGAAGTAAAATTATTTAAGTAAATCAGAAGGAATTAATATTTTATCACAAAACCTTCCTGGACTTAAAAGGTCAATGTCCAACACTTTCCTCACGCAGGATAATTTCGCAGTGCGACAGATCTGTCGGCCGACTGGAACGGAAGGAAAAGTGTGCATTGAAGATTGCGTCTCGAAGTGATCTCGCGCGGCAACACATAAACTAACAAGACACTTGCAACCTTAAACAGTTCGCTCCTATTTACGTCACGGCACGCTGAAAGCCTGTCATCGGCTTTCATCAGTTTCCGCAAGTGGCACGTAGCGCGACCGTGTGTTATCGAGACGTCTCGCATACCGCTATGCACCGCTGTATTTACGTCGCTCTCGCGGCAACAGATCGATTGGGGGGATCAAGTACGCCGGATCCTCAAGTACGCGATGATCGGAGCCGACCTAGAAAGGTGAGTTTCCGAGTAAACGACCGCGATTACCCGCTCACTCGGAAATCCACGGCTGAGATTTCGCGGATGAGTCGGGCATACTTTCTCCTTTCCGGGGTGCCCGGGGCCCCCTGCTATCCTCCGCGTTTTGTATGCGTACGACTGGCTGAGTCACGTCTACCTCCTCGGCCGGTGAACTTAGTTCATTTTCTCCCTCTCCCCTTGCTCTGCCCTCCCTCAGTCACTCTCTCTCTCTCTCTCTCTCTCTCTCTCTCTCTCTCTCTCTCTCTCTCTCTCTCT